GACACTTTACTATAAGAATATAGCTATAGCACCCTGATCCAGTTTCTACAACACATCACCTTAAAAAGCTTCTAATGAATTTGAAGAAAATGTAATTTTGACTAGAAGTGAAAGTTTAAGGAAATGATAAGAAAAAAACAGGCATAGAGGTGAGCATAGTGTTCTGCTTGGTTCTTGATGGGGTTTAGGAGAGATACTAAAAGATCTGTATAAAACAAGAAACTCCTGTTTCTAGATAAAAATTAAATAAAATTAAGCCTAGTTCTTAAATTTAACAAGCTTTAGCAAAAATTTTACTGTGTTAGTTTGAAATATTAATATAACAAATTAGTTATTATGGCAAGTAATCCCACAGAAGGGTACAGAATGAGAAAAAAAATCTCCAAAAGGTCTCAGTAAGGTACAACATGATCCACCCTCCCATATGATTCTGCAAAAACTTTCATGGCTAAACCTCAGAATTCCTCTCAGCTCAGCCAAAGGCAAGCAGCTGTTTTCTCATGATCTCCCAGCATAAGAGGGTGTTACTCATCCAGTGATAGTCTGGAGGGTTACAGGAGTGGGTTGTGCTTATTATTGCTTTTCTCTTCTCTCTCCCCCAAAGGTGTTCAGAGTTTAAAAACAGAAAGGTATCTGTAAACTAACTGTAGCCTGCAAAATGCAGCTGACCTTGAAGCATAAGCCTCCCGCAGTTACTCGTATTTCGCAGTCTCACAATTGTTTACGTAGACTTTATTTAAAGAAAAAAAGTAGCAACTAAGTAAATGCACAGAAGGGACTAATTTAACCAACCCTTTGGATAAAAGTCAGGGTAGGGCAAGAGGTGTCATGGGAGTGTTTTAACCCAGCAGAAATGTGATGACTAAATGGGTAATTACCACTCTGAACATGTACCATCGCTGGGCGCCTCCTGCACTCACTGAGGAGTATTTCCACATTTCTCATGCAACCTGCCTGTGTGACAAGTCTGCGCACACACGTTGTATCCAATTAGTGTCAAGCATAAGGGCTCCTCAGCATGTGTCTCCTGTCCCTAAACCCCTCCTGGAAGCAATTTTCCCAGCATACAAAGAGTAAATCACCATTCTCCTAACTCTCTCAGAGGATAGTTCCCAAATAAGGGCAAAATAAACGCATGTAATACATGGTAAAGCATTCTAATTAATTAGATAATATTCTCCCAGCAGAAGTAGATGCAGAGTATTATCTGCTTTAAGTGTTAAACATTACATGTAATTAAACACATCAGGGTAGGTGAGACAAGGCACTTGAATAGGCACTTGTAGAAAACTAGTGAAACAGCCTGCTTAAAAAAAGCCCAAACAACCCCAAAACAAACAAAAAAACAACTGGAAAAGAAAAAAAAAATCAATGCACACCTACTGCAGGAAGTATAAATTACTTTCTCTGTGTCCCAGTCTCTGCAGAACCATCAGTGCCTGGAGAGGAGAGCAGAGGGAGGGTACGCAACCTGCTCTGCACACCCTCTCCTCAGGCACCAACTGCACCAGGGTGAAACTGTTAGCTTAATTTGGCAAATGACTTAACATGACCACACCTTGTATAATCAATAGTCACACCGTGCTATTGGAATGTCCACAGTAGTCTCCTGTGACACCAGCTATTGTTCTTCACACACGTTTTCAATTGACCAAACATCATGCTTAGATAAAGACAATGCTCGCTGAGAAAAAAAGAACTCTTACACCAGGATGTAACAGAAATCCTCCTGAAATGAAGCCAAACCCAGAACTGTATTTTAGTCCAGCAACTGAAAGGTTGGGTTACCTCTGGGAAGGCCTAGAAGGAGCTCAGAAGGCCATGGGAGCTGGGGTGCTTCCTTAGGTATTCTACTAGGGGCCAAAGGCAAGAAACTGGCCTAAGAAAGGCTTAATTAATTAGTTAATTATCTACCCAGGGGCAACTGTAGTGGGAAACACCAAGGTGAAAAATGCCTGTTTCAGTGTAGCTGGTGTATGTTAGGTGCTGAGGCTCTGGGCTGGGCTTCCTTTTTCTGCTCTCGTGCACAGGAGAGGTCTCCCCTCTCTTCCCTACTCTCTTGTTGCCTTCTCCCGAAGGCTGGCTGGGTCAGAAACCATCATCTGCTAGTGAAGGAGCAGCTCCCCTAAACAGAAAACAGTTCTGGAGTGGCTTCAGTTTAATGTTGTGCTGAAGAAGTTATATGCATCAGAGGTGGATGAGAAGGGCTCAAAGGAGAGCACCAATAGGCGTACTGCAGGACAAGCAAAGAGGGATGTTTTGTTTCAGGTTATTCTAAGAGAGGTGGTGAGGATTACAAGGAAACCATTTGTATCTTCCTCCTGTCAGAAAACAGAGCATTAAACCCATAATCAAAGTAAATTGGTACTCTGAGTGTTACCCACGCTTGGCCTACACAGCACAAGCAGACCACATGGATGCTGCACAGCCAGGCAGTGAGGACATGAAAGCTGTCACTAGCATGTGGGAAATTGCCTGTGGACAGCTTAAGGATCTGACAGACCTTTGTTTTTCAGGACCGTCCGTCCTGATCTCTCATATTTGCTATTATCAGAACTCAAGAAGCCATTAATAGAGTTATTAATAGCAAAACAGATTGCTGCGAAAGGGCAAAGAGACACCCCCCTGTTTACCACCATTCCCTCAGGCTAATTGGAAAATGGAGGCTGGATCCAGCTTGGGCTGCTCCCTGTTGCTTTCTAAGAGCAAGCAGACAATGCCCTGGGAATGGCAACCATATAACAAATGGAGGATTTGCACCCACTCACTTATTATATGCCTTGCTGGAAAAGCACACCTAATTTGATAACAATCTGACTTCCAGCTATGAAATCCAGAGAGCTTTTGCACCTGGCAAAGGTTCAGGTGGCAATCTATCACAGGGTGCATGTGGAGACCTGAAAGACCCCTGATAATAGTGAAAGCGAATGCTAGGCTGGGGAGGTTTGCTTAGGAAATACAAATATTTTCTTTGCCAAAACTGACTTAGATATTGGGATTCCTGTCTGATACTAAACAGATAAGCTTAGAATTAAGCATGCCTGGGGGCTGAGAGCTGGCCCAAGCAGGGTGGACTATCTGGGAGTAAATGGCCAGCACTGCTCCTCACAACCTAGCTGGCTCCTGGCAATCAGTACAGGCTGCTCCACCTCATTCATACCCCAAGCACCTGCAAACACAGCAGGAGATCGTGCTGTTTTCAAGCTTATCACCTGGTCAGGGTGGTGTAAAGTCCTTTTCCCCAGAAGGGTAGCTGTGCCTCTTACCTACACAGGAGCCCTCAGCGACTTCATGTGCAGAGCAAAGAGCAGAGGAAGATTTTGAACATGGCTCAGTCTGTCGTGCCTTGGTGAGCACATCCATAACCCAGAGGTGGCTCTGGCTTTGTGTTTTCAGCACCCTCTCTGGTTGCTGGAGACAGGCATGATGGATGGTTTTCCTTCTCTGACAGCGGCCTGGCTGCTCCATCACAGGACACCACAGCCCTGGGGCACAGGGACGTGAGCAGCATGCCTGCCTCAGGGATGATGGCGGG